TAAAAAAAAGTAAATACACTACATTAAACTACATAAAATCTACAATTGAAATCGCCCTACCCGAAGACATTTCGGCAAATTTGCCAAGATTTGAATATTCATCTAAATTCTCGCAAATGCAGTGAAATGACGCTTCAGCTACCCGTGTCAGCAAATTGAGCTCAATTCAGGCCTGCTTAGCAGCAAAAATACACTCTCTTCTCAGGAATAACACATACACAGAATAGTGTCTGTTCTCCACATGTGCACACAAATATTTACATAAATAAAAAATCCTTCACTGTTGGCACTCCATGCGATCTTCTCAAAACTAAACAGTTGCAAGCAATGTCCATGCATTTCAGCCGTTTCGACATCGATGATCAGAAGTTCAATTGAAATTTGATTCTTGTCACTCATAGTAAGGGCGCAGTATTTTCCATTCGGCGAATACTCATGCTCAATTACAGAGTCATAAGGTGTTTTATTTGAATTGAACACGACACGTGGTTGTTCATCCTTCAATGATTTTGCTCTCATAAAAATGCTATGAATGTGAGAAAACTCGATTAGTATGTGAATTCAACCAAAGCAGAAATATTGTAGCCAGTATTTGGCAAAATGAATAAATAAAATTGAAATATGTATAACAACGGTGAAACTCATTACAAACTCACGGTTTATAAATTGATTTTGAAAAATTGCGATAGCTATAAAAAATGTGGCCGTTTAAGAGTTGAACATCCGAAAACAGTTCATAATCGATTGGATTATGGAATATTTCTCGAATTTCCAGCCAATTGTTGTTCGATGAATTCAATTCAAGGTATTTGTCCAGCGTTTCAGCTTCAAAACGAAGAATCTCATTCTTTTGCTCCGAATCATTTTCAAGCCAATCATAATAGTCACAAATCTATTTAAACATTTCATTATAATTGATCACACAGCATTTTAACGCCTGAATTTTTTTGTTTACTTACCTCTTCTCCATGCAATACCATACCATGTGGCTCTTTTTGCTCAATTATTTGATATTCAATTGACATCACTGCATAGGACTAGAGAGATTTTTTGTTGAATTTAAGAATAAACTAAAACGATTCGTCTCGTAACGAGAATGTGATAACATTGATTATATTTATTTTCATGCTACTGAACCCACTTGAAGTGAGAAAATACAATACACAAGTGGTTTGTTATTTTAAAAATAGAATTATAAACAAAGAAATTCTCTTCTCGATTTCCTTTTGCGTTTTTTTTTTTTTGGCGCGCATTCATTTTTCAAGTTTAACGGATAATTATAGACGCAACCACGCAGACACGACTTACTAACGATGCATACTCTGATATGAGATTGTTTCAATTGCATCGCAACTCTCTTTATAGAGAGAGTTTTGAACATGTTGAATTATTTTCGCATTTCGAAGTCGAGCTTTTATCACGTATGTGGGAAATCGATAGCAAAAATACTCCTCATCGCTCGAATTTGAATCGTCGACGCTGAACAATGCCGCTGATAACAGTGTGGATAGAGAGATAACGAATAAAGGAGCGTTTTTATTAAAAGTACGTTGAAATGGTTCAGTCTTTTTCGTTTCTAATGAATTTTGCTTTCATCCTGCACTCTTTTCCTTGCTTCCAAATGGTGATTATTGTACTAGCCGATTTGCTTTGCTTCCCTTCGCTTCACTCCGACATGGTATAAAAAATACATCCCAGCTTCACCATTGCGGAAATCACATTTACGTGACACATCGATTTATCTTGTCAAGTTTTTGACAAATTTTTTTTTCAACTTCTTCTTGACAAAAGGTAACAAACTTTTTCGGCATTTTTTTCGCACAAAACCGTGTATTTGTTCCCTGAACATCAGTTTTGTTTACAACATGATCGATAGTCGATTTGTGATCTATTTTTAATACCGAATTCGGTTATTATCACATTTCAGTAGAACGATTTATAGCAAATGTGGACATATATGCATTGTTCTAATCTTGATCCATCGATTCGTTGATAACAATTAATCGAACGAAAAAACATGTCTGACATGGCTTCCATTTATCATTTTGATGACTGACAACAACGCGCCTTGGATCACGAAACTTGATTTATGGCGGCTGGTGGCTACAGTTTTTCTACCAGTTTCTCGAAATTGACGCCTAGACTGACGCACATTAAGCTTGAAGTGAACATATACGTTTTACTACTATTCTACTACATCAATGGGCAATATTTGTACTCTACCCATAAAAAATCACATTAACGTCTATTGGCAATTTTTTTTTATAACGAGCATTATTTGGCATTATTTCTGTTCTTCTTTACACTTTCAATATAATCAGAAAATATGTATGATAAATGGCAAAAAAAATTGGTTATTCAGCGATAAAATCGATAAATCCGAAAGATAAAATCCAGGTTCGTTGTCATATAAATGCGTTTCGTGCCTCATTTGCCTATCAGTTTCAATTGGTAGGTTCCGTAATTCGACCAGTTCAAAGTTAAATCGTCATGACACAACTAAAGTTATTCTCTATCTTATTGCTGATTTGTTTCAACTGTTTGGCTTCTGAAAATCCAGAGGAGGTAAGCAAAAATCGTTCTCTTGAAATAAAAAAAAGAGGAAACATTTACCTTTGTTTTGAAAAAATGGTGAAATTTTTTAAAAAACATTAAATTTTACAAAAAAAAAATATTTATTAAACCCTCTTTAATAATTCAACTCACTTAAATTAGGGCTGCAACGCTCAATCGCTTGAGAATATGAATTTATCGCAGTTGATCTTTGAGGTAAATAAAAATGTGAACTGCTTAAACGCTTCTCGTGAAATGTTCCACCAAAAATACCAGTCAACGATATTCACGATCAAGGGCCCATTTGTGAATGACGAGAAATATTCGATAAGCGAAGATAAAAACCGAGCCAACGCTATAATACGATCGTACAGTATGTTTGAAAAGATTCTCAAGCTGTTTGGCGATATGGTTCAATACTTAGCAATTCACTTTGAATCGATTGACACATTGATTGGTCGGAAAATTGTTAAATTGGTCAATAGCAACTGCGTTGATTCATTGATGATGTTAACGCTTGAGGATTGCAAAGAAAATGTTCTCGATGATTTGAATAGTACATTTCCTGCAGTCGTTGCGTCGGCATTTTCGAGTAGTTCATGGCGTAGGCTTGTCATTCGAGAAGATACTCCAACTTTAAATGAGCTATTTCCGAAATTAAATCAATTGCAAATTGAGTACACAAGAGCATCCGATTGGAAGATGATTGGCGATGAATTTCCGAATTTAACATCTATCCATGTGAATCTACCAAAAATAAAAGTTGCAGAACTACCCGATGAAACGTTTGTGGTAAATTTAACACGAAAAAGTCCGGAAATTAAACAATTTTCCATAAAACACAGCAGCCTAAGTCTGTTAAAGGAAATCCATGATACATTGCCGAAATTAGACCATCTTGAGCTACATTATTTTGCAAACAATTATTCGAACTTGGATGACGATCTCAATATAACAATACGATTTGATAATGTGATTAGTCTTACTGTGTTTGAAGATAAAAGTGATTACAAAACACCGGAAAAGATTCACTTTCCTCAACTCCAGCAACTCAGACTGAATCTTCAACCCGAATTCACTGGCACATGGATCGATTTTATCAACGAACAATTAAGTCAAACCATCAACTCTTTCGATCTTTCCGTCGGCATTTTGACGAATGAACATCTGTTGACCATTCCGGTGATACTGCCAAACTTACAGAGTACAATTATTCGCTGCGGAACCGATTTTAGTGCCAATGAAATTATGGCATTCCTTGGGAACGGCGAATTTTTGCAAAAAGTTGAAATGGTTATTCAAATGGAGAAAACGCAGCAGAATATTTTGAGAAGCAAACTTCAACGCAATTGGAAATATAGCATAAATCCGGCAAAGAGAAGGGTTCAAATCATGCTTGAAAGGTAAGAACGAGCGCGAAGAGAGGTAAGCGTGTTGACGGTGGCAACTTGACACTGTACAATTTCACGTCGTTTTTAGATTTTACAAATATTTTCTAAATTCACGACGCAATCATTGGTCGTTAGGAATGTAGAAAATGTTCCAAAATCGTATTCCTCTTGAAAGGAGAGCTTGAGCTAGCATATGATGGATTTTGTGGAAGAAAATGAAAGTTTTGGCAATTCAAAGGCGATTTTAATGAGTCTTTTCTTCTATTTTTTCTGTTTTCTTTTCTCTCTCCTTTCTCTCGCTATTCTATCTCCGTTTTCTACGATAGAATGAATAATCAAAAAGACTCGGCAACGGGACTCACAGAATATTCATCACAAATGCTTGCCATCACATTGACATCACTTGCCATCGTGACACGAATTTAAACGACCATAACAGGACAACAACTACACAGCTGCTTTTCCACACCTCTATTTCAGTCATTAGCAGACACCAGACATTATCAACTAACAATTTCGTTACCGCCAGGCATTAGCAACTACGTAACTATTACCTTTATTGGAGACACTTTTAATTTCAATTGCTTTCAATGTTGATGTGTTCCAATACAATCTTCGATTACCTTCAAAATAAAGAGTGTATAGGAATATAGGAATGAAAGAGTGTAAAAGAATGAAAATTGACATTTCTAGCCAAAAAAAAAATACAGTCATTTTTAAAGAATGTCGATTGATGTTGGATTAAACATTGAAGAGGCTCTCAAGAATATTATTTATTACATGAAAACTCACCGTAACCATCGTAGATCATATATTTTACATTGAATATTTCAATGAATCATACATTATTTCTGTTTCTATGTGGAAAAAATTACAAACCAATTGAATAATAAACATATTGATTTTATTGAAAGCACTTGAGTTTTGG